ATATTCCTGCAATCGAACAACAGAATTCGGTCCCGTTCAGTAGATTTGCCGGCCAACCGGTCCAAATCTCTGAATGGCGGCATCCACGGAGACTCCACTTAAGGAGATTGGCGCAGGACATTTCGGTCCCTGGCCTCTTGATTGGTGCCAGCGTGAGCGCTGACACCAGTGACATCCCGATCCCTTGGGTTGCTTCGCTTGTGGTGGTGTATATGTTCACCACCAATTTTCTCACGCGTCCTATCGCTGAATGAATTTGCGTGGGGCGGCGATTCATCGGAATAATCACTCGAGTCGAAAATATCGGTCACGATACCGCCGCGTTGACCAGAGCGAGTCATCCTAGCTCTTGTAGTGTCCGCCCGGGTGATCCGGAGACGTGAGGAGTCGCCTTCGAGTCCGTTGCATCATCAGACTCGCCAGAATAGATAAGCTCTATCTCAGACTCATCTTTATTACGACTCGTAATACCCGCTGCAGACGCAACGGATGTACCTGTCGCACATGGAGGATTCACAACAACAGACGACGAATCACCTGTTGCTGAGGTGTAAGAGGAACCTACCGCGGCTGCACGCATGCGTGCAGCCGCCCTTCTTGCTGCTGCAGTAGCAGCTCGTGTGGTTTTCGAAACCATGCGTTGGATTGGCAAATGAATGGGATTTGACCATCAAGTGCTCCCTTTCCCAGGGTGATATTGCGGTGGTCACCCCAGTCAATTCTAATTCAATCAACAGGTGATTGATGGTTAAGGGGGGTGATGTAACGGGGTAGCCCGTTACATGATATTGACACCAAAAGGTGTCAACAGAGACATTGTCAAGAATGACAGTATTTTACCAATAGTATCCGAGATTGATAATATCGAATGTATATTATCCGAGATAGATAATATTCATTTGCTGCTCCAAGTTTGGTTGATATTAGACATATCAACCATAGATTGCCACTAATCACTGCTAGACGCGCGCAATAAGTTGTCAGCAGGTTGTCGTCATACGCCGACGTAGTTTAATGTAGTTAGATACAGACTAAAGTTAAATTGATAGCTTCACTATGTGCAATACAATTCTCTTTTTACCCTTAATTTTACGAGTCGTTAAAGTAGATTAGCTTTCTCTGCACGTACTAGTGTACGTGAAGTTTCGCGGCACCCCAAACAAAGGGTGCCCCATTACATCACAGCTATTGTAATACGCAACCACAAGCGCAGTTGTGTTCAGGAGGTATCCCTTTATGGAGATAGCGCCACATTGTAAAGTGTTATCGAGACAACCGTCGAGCTCGAATACCCAACGCTTTTTTTCCGTCGCTGTCCTCTTTGCCATGCTAACAGCACGTCCAATGGGCTCGAGACCACTGCTCAAATCTTTTTGAGTTGCCCATGTCGAAATTATTGTTTTATGAGCTCCGTAGTGTCTGTCAGAGCTGCATGCATCACTTTCGCGTTCTGCACACATCTATGCAACAGCGAACGGATCAAAATGAAAATCTGCGTACATCTGCACGGATTTGAGCTGACAAAATGGGGGCACCACCACCTTCTGACGTTGCCGCCCGCTCATTTGTTTATTATGCCTCACCTGTCAAGCTATTTGTCTCATTCTGCTACAGCTTAATCTCTGCAGCTCGTAAAAGTTTGGAAACACAGTGGATGTCTCGGTCATAGTCGTTACCTGCTGCTTCAGCATCACGCGCGACGACACCCCCCTGTCGCTCATATAGGCTGCGCCGTGTCAGATAATGGCTAGATGAAGCCTATAATTGCCCATCCACATTTCAACCATTGACCTTATCTTCTTTGAGCAAGTCCGAGTGGTCCTAGACGACTAGTAAAGAGCGACGGGTAAGGTGCGGAGCTCGTCTTTAGGTTGCGTACTTTGCACACACCGTACCCACACTAATGGCCACCTTCAGCTGTTGCCTTCCTTCCCATGTCTGTCGTATTGTACCGACGGACAATGATGACCGCGTCGTGTGCATCTGGAAGCGCATTAGGTAGAGAGGAGGTAGCCTTCACTAGCTACCCCCGATCAACGTTCAATCGATTGTCATGACAGCTATCACGGGTAGCTGGCGCCACTGACTATTGGGTGTGTCGACCGAGGTGATTCTGTCACGGACATCTTTCGGACAGGAGGTGTAACACCTCTATCGAAAGAGCGGCTTGATGTCATTATACCATCGCTGACACAAACTACGAAATATAGTCCTTGAAGTTGAGCTTTCAAACAGGTTGTTGCCGTCGACTTCAGCTGGCCGCGAACTCTGGACACAAAGGTGACCAAGAAGATATTGAGGCAAGCGAGTTTTGACTGAAACTCATGCTTGTCATGGAATCAAGTGTAGCAATTCTGGATGCACCGATCTCGAGATGTCCAGCAATACGAGGGGTGAAGGGATTCGCGCGACCGTGTAACAGGACTGTAGGCGTCAAGGGTGGATTCTAAATACTCGGCAACCTTTTCTTTGACCGGAGCGCACGCAGAACCGTACAGGCATTCGTATTTTTGGTGTTGCGTTAAATGCGTGGACATATCATGTAAGCCCAACGCAGTGCTAAAAAAGCACTTCAACTGAAGTTGCGTGCATGACGCTACGTACGACTCAGCGAAAAGCTACCGGATCGTTTTGCCACGGAACTCTTCCCGGTGCTAACTGTACCTGACGATAAGGCTCGCTATTGCTTTTACCAGCCTGCTGCTAAGACAAAATCGACGTCCGATGAGCTGCTCTAGCTAGCAAAGGATTAGTGCAGTGCGTTTCTGTTTTTTGCAGCACATTGAAGGCACAAGAGAGGCGAAGGGTTAATAGCACTACAACATTTCTATCATTACGAGTAAATCCAAATAAATATGACGATTAAATTGTCCCGACCTTCTTTTGTCGGTTGTGCGGTTTCAGATGAGCGGGGTGGCTAAATTTGTGGTTGGTATCACCAACGAGTTTCCAGGCGTCGCGTTACGTATCATTGACTCCGGTAAAAAAAATGGCTCATTGAGAGTGCCGAAGCGCTGCCTGACTGGTTACCCCTAAAATCTGCGATCGACGAGTGCTTGCACTGACTTAAAACGTCATTTGCATCTCCTACTCATACCAACAGGGGAAAATAAAGAGTGATTTGACGGTGGTGTACAAGAGCAAGTGCTGGACACCACTATAAAAATGAAGGCCAGTACTGCAGGACGGCAACTCCGGCAATGTAAACTATATAACACTTAAATACCCGCTTGTCTTCTGGGGCACAAAATGGAAAGTGAATTAGCGTGTAGCTTTCTGTGTCGGTCTCACCTACTTGTTGTGGTACTTAAAACATGTACAAAAAGCAGCTTTGAAATATCCGTATTTGAAAGCTCCCACAACTACAAGCTTGGTTTCCTAACCATTCGTTATATCATAGTCGTCCGCCAATTGGATTTGCACTGTCCCAACGCACAATTTCCCAATAGACGCAGGACATCGTTGTACGCAACACCATCTTGTTACAATGTAACGGGGCACCCTGAAGCTTGTACTGATGACAGTACAAGCTACTTATTCTGACAACAGAATAGGGCGGTTCCGCGTAACTTCACGTACCCTGGTACGTGCAGAGGAAGACGGTAAGGAGAAGCGAGTACTTGGTTAAAGTAAAAAGTAGAACTGACTTTATAATAGTTCATGTCTGTTAATAAAACACTGTTTATCTTCATCTAACTATGTCTAAACACAAATGAGTATATCAACTATCTGCTCACCACTCATTGCGCGCGTCTGTCGTTGCGCGTCTTCGTTGGTTGATATAATGGCCTATATCAATCAATTAGTAACTACTCGTAAGTGCTGCGGAAAATTTGTCCTTATGACAATATTCCGAAAATATAACTTTTACAGTTATATTCTATTAACAATTTCTTATAAATTGTTATGTAACGATTCGCCCCGTTACACCACCCCACCCCCCTTAACCATCAGTCACTTTAGTGACTGATTGACTAAATGGATACTCGTCCCAAATCATTTGGGATAGGGTTTGCACTTGTCGGTCCAAGTCCACTTTCCAGCAGTTCATCGCATGGTTAACAAGCCCATGCGGTGCGCGAGCAAGGCCGCCGAGAGCGCGTCTGCATGTCTCTGTGCAGACGCCGAAGCAGAAACCGCAGCAACATATGTCTCATCGGTTGCTGAAGCGACCCAGCCTGTGTCATCTGGTGATGCAGGCGCTCGTCATGAAGACACTCATGTCTTCACAGAGTATGAGCTCGGTGTCTCTTACTGTCCTGATACGGAAGACGGATCCGTATCGACGGCGATCGAATCCAAGCCGCCTGCCAAGCGTGGCATGGATGATGCTACGCGTCGTAGCATCTTTGGTTAATCCGATGAATTAGATGAACCATCGCCAAAGCGAAGGCGCTCGAGATCGCGAGACTCGGGCGCTTACAGTGGTGTCGGTTCTCCTATGGACACCACTTCGCAACAAGGTGCCAGTACTTCTGTCGGTACGTCGCAGGAAGAGCGGGACCGCAGCGTGTTGCGTCTCGCTTCTGAGAAGAAGGCATGGATGCCTCCAATGTCAGTCATGGATCGCTTGTCGGTGACGACAAGTGATCGCTATCGAACACAATTGTTCGATTCATCAAGGATCCATTACCTTGATCCCAGTGCGAAAGGCTATCACACTGAGCATGAATTCTTCATCGATGCTTTCTTTAGACATCGATGGTACAGTGGGAATCACAAGCGTGATGGTCCCTCGCTACTTCAGGCGTGGAACGCCTACATCCATAGCCTCGAGGATGTAGGTCGTGACGCTTGGAACGACAAACTTATCAAAGCTCGTGATAAGTTTGAAAAGCGAACCCCGACAGGTGCACGCTACAAGCTGCATCGTCTGTCAAGGGAGAAGGGATTACCCTGCCTCTCTTGGGGAGACTCGTGCCCATGTTGTGTGAACAACTCTGCACGAGCACCTAAGGAGGCTTACCTCCTTACCAGCCCGTGGTGGCGCGTACGTGTCTCTACTGAGATGTACGAAGGGATTGACAACCTGAAATCCCTTTACGACCGTGCCGGGAAGACTTTCTCCGGCGGTCCTTCTGCGGCACAGGATGTGCCGCGTCGTACTGCTCTTCCAAACCCAGTACGTCAACCATAAGTTGGGAGCGGGGCTCCCAAGAATCCCAGGACGGGGGATAGCTGCGCCACCGGACGAGATAACTCGTCCGACGTCCGTTCACGTCGCGGTGGTTCAACAGCTGCTCAACTAGATAGCGCTGGCCACCGCGAGAGTCCTCTAATGGAGGTGGAGGCTGAGGAAAGAAGCTCTCCACACGATCGTGGGGATCCGTGTGTTCCGAGAGCTTCTTTGATCGCGTAACGCAAGGGTTACGCGGTGATCTCGAACATGAGCGGGACAGGCGTCTCCAAATGGCGGACACTGTCTTGAAGCATCGAGCTGAGTTTGCCTTTGTTCAGCTTGAGAACGAAAGAGCTCTGACATCTCTTCGTGACGAGCTAAGGGTAGCTCGTGGGATTGTTGATCGGTCTCGGGGTGAGATAAATGCTCTCCAGACCCTTGTCGATGCCCATCATCGGGGGCACAAGGCTCTCTGCGAGATGCTTGAGCGCAAGGGCGTTCTTCATCGTAAGAAGCAGCGTACTGATGGTACGGCTTAAGCCGACCAACGTAAAACGTGGGATGCGTTCGCATCTTACGTGGTAACTCGATCGTGTATGCATTGCCTAGGCGGTGCAATACACGAAATGGGCCGATGTACTTGGGTAGTAGTTTACTGCTACCCAAGTTAGTCACTACATGCTTTGGTAGATTAACCGTAGACAGTAGGACTGAGTCACCTTTATTAAATAAAAGAGTGTTTGCCCTTCCATTCTTGTCAGCGTTTTGCTTTTGCTTGTCCACCGCTTCGGCGATGGAGTCTTGCACAAAACGGACTACCGTTTCACGAGCCAGTATGAACTCATCTGATGACTCGTTAGCTTCAGTGTGCTGTGAGCGCACTGCAGCAACATCAATCTTTTCTTCAGTGAGGGCTTCCGCACTCTCACTGGGATCATCTTCTTCAGTGAGGGCTTCCGCACTCTTACTGGCATCATCTGCTTCGATATCAATGTGGTCGATATCGGCATCAAACGCAATGACCTCTTCGTCAGAGCGTGATGAGCGTGAACCAAATTGGCTTTTGCTCGCGCGAGTCTCTCCCCCCCTTAAACCAGAGTTACACGCGAGTAAGTTGGGTACACGCGGATGGCGCAAGCCATTCACGTAAAACGGTGTATGTGTCGTGGACGCATGCACCGAGTTCTTAATGGCAAACTCTACCATTGGCAAGAACTCACTCCAACTCTTAAAGGAGTGTACGTATCCTCGAAGTATCTCTTCGAGGACACGATTGGCACGTTCCGTCTGACCATCGGACTCTAAATGATCAGATGTCGACATATTCAAGCGCGTTCCGAGTGTATTGAACACGGAACGCCAGAAATCAGTAGTGAAGCGTGGATCTCTGTCTGATACGAGTTCACGTGGCAACCCATGAAGTCGGAAGATGGTGTCGATAAAGACACAAGCACAGCCACTTGCTGTGATTGACTCGGGTACAGCCACAAGGTGTACCATTTTGCTGAATCTGTCAACTTGTACAAGAATACCCGTATTCCCGCGTGCGTCTTTGGGTAACCCGAAGACAAAATCCATCGAGATGTATTTCCAGCACTCAGCCGGAACTTGTAGAGGCTGTAAAGGTGCACGCAGTGAAGGACTTGACTTCGCTCGTTGACAGACTTCGCATGCGCGAACATACTTTCGCACAAACTGATACTGGCGGGGCCAGTAAAAGTCTCGACTCACCGTGAGATATGTTTTCTCCCGGCCACGACATCCTCCTATAGGAGCATCGTGATACTCGAACATGATCCACAGACGCAGATCAGTATCATCTGGGATGAAAACACGTGGTGTGTCACCAGAAACGGCTGCATAATACAGTAAACCGTTGCGAGTAGTGTATCGATCTGATGCAGATCGATACGCAGACGATAATCGTTTCAACGATTCTCGAGATGGTTGTGAGAGATGTGTCAGCAACTTCACAATCTCACCATCTTGGGCATACGCCCTCCTCATATCATCATACAACGTTGAAGATGGTATTAAGGACGTCATAACCGCAACAGTGACTGTCTCACTGTTGGGTTTCGCGACTGTTTCAAAGTCGGGACGACGTGAGAGTGCATCAGCGACGACGTTAAGTCGTCCTGGTTTGTATTTGACCGTAAAGTTGTATTCTGCAAAGAATGACAACCACCGCGCCATTCGTTGTGAAAGGTGCGGGCTGTTTACTGCCGTGCATAACGACGCATGGTCAGAGTAAACAATGAAGGGTCTTTCTTCTAATAGATAGACTCTGAACTTCGCGAGTGCATACTTCATGGCAAGGAGTTCCTTGTCGTGCACTGGATAGTTCCGCTCAGCTGGTTGCAGCTGACACGACTAATAGCAGACGACGCGTTCAACGCCTTTAAGATCGTACTGCATTAATGCACAGCCGACTGCGAAATCGCTGGCATCACAGACCACCTGAATTGGCCTGCCCTGATCGGCAATTGCTAGGACTGGGGATTGTATCAAGATCTGCTTGATACCATCAAAGGATCGCTGACATTCAGCGTTTCATAACCACCTCTCGTTCTTTTTCAACAAACGAGAGAAGTGTACAGTCATGTCGGCGTAATTGCGTGAGTACTTATGCAAATACGCCGCTAGCCCAAGGAATTTTCGAAGACCTTTGAAATCAACTGGCACAGGCCAGTCGGTGATCGCCTTGATCTTTTCCGGGATCAGGACGTCCACCGTTCTTACCAACGATGCACCCAAGAAGTAGTATTTCGCTTGCTGCAAATATACACCTTCTTGAGATTGGCAGACAATTGATGCTTTCGCATGATTGTGTAAGAACCTGTCGGACGTGGTACCTGTGAACCTCAACGTCCGACTTTCCATCCATAGCTCGACTATGGATGAATACGTCATCGAAATAACTCGACGCGAATTCTCGTACTGGTCTCAACGGATGTGATACACATCTATTGAACGTGGCAGGGGCATTACTAAGCCCTTGTGGCATTACTAGGCATTCCCAGAGCATGCCGCTAGGCGTGCTAACTGCGGTATAGGGTATATCCCGTTCCCGCATTAGGATTTGATAGAAGCCATCCATCAAATCCATGGACGAAAAGATGGTACTCTTTGACATACCATCAATGATTACGTCCTTCATTGGTATCGGCGTCTGAGCCGGTACCGTTGCAGCATTCAACTTGTTAAATGCATGCACAATCCGCCACCCTCCTGTTGCTTTTCGCACACAGAAGGTCGGAGACCTACGTGGGGAAGTTGATTCCCTCACATGGCCCACAGCTAAACGATCAGCAAAGAACTTGTCGATCGCAAGTACTTGTTCACGAGAAAGTGGCCACTGCTTCCTGACACAGTACTTCGAGCCTGGTTTAAGCTCGACTTCGTGTCGAGTACCTTTATCCTTCGGTAACTCGCACGGAATAGTTTCAGGGAATACATCCTTATATTCACCATATCTTCAATGAGAGGATTTGTCTTAAGCAATTCCCACGATTAAGAGTCATATCACTCATCCCGTGTCTTTTTGTCGAGGACACTCTCGTCCATCGATGAACTACTGAAAACTATCTCGTTCTCAATAAATATTGTTGCAGACCTTATGTCGGCTACACACTCGTCGTCGGCGACAAGTACGCAGATCTGCTCGACTTTGCCACTACGCATATCACGCAAGAACCTTTTATGTTCGAGCGTTGGCAACTGAGTGATCTCCGAAGTCAACTTCGGAGGCGCAATCAGATCAAGTGTGTAAGCGCCTACACCTGATCCATCATTGGCTAGGACATTTAAGGTCTCTGTCATTTCCTTGGGACTTATTCCCTCAGGCCTCGAAGGACTTATTCCTTCGGCTTCCCGGGGACTTATTCCCTCGGGTTTCGGGGAACTTATTTCCGCCGTATTTGTAATCTTTTGGGACTTATTCCCTTTACTTCCTCTAGCTGTGGTTGCGCAACCACAGCGAGATCCTCTACGAAAGACTCTCCAGTCGATCTAGGATTATCGTTTCGCTTAACCTGAGCGATCGAT